AGAATTTGGTTGAGGTCGGAGTGTAGCGGTGAATTCTCAGTGCACGTTCTGTGTAAAACAAAGATATGGCCAGTTTTTAAAGTGCCCGCAGGTATTACTGCTGGTCGGCATTAATAAATATGTGTAGAGGCAAATTTGGTAGATTAACCACAATAAGTTGCATCGCAGTCATTGCATGGGATTTTGTAGACAAGCTCCATCCTATCAAAACGGCCAAGAATATCCTTAACGTGTACAGGCTGGGTGCATACCGTGATCATCGGTTTATGAGCAACTTGAATATTGTGTCCCTTCGGGTGTCTTTCAAACAGTGAAGAAGGGATTGAAATAATATGCCCTTTTTCCTCTCGATTCTCGTTCTCTCATACATTGGCATGCAAAATATTTATAACAGCCGGTTTAAGAAAATAATTAAGACAGATAATCTATTTAGATTCGATCGTCTTCACTTTCTGGTACTATTTTTTGTACGATCAAGCATTCTACCGTCGATACTTGTTTGCAAAAAACCAGGTAATTGCTCTCCCAGTGTAGAACGACTTGCAAAGAACTTTATTTGCGGCTAACTGGTTCGCGCAGTGGTTTGACCGCTAATCGCTGTAGGAGAGCATCTACAAGTAGCCTTTTTATCAAATTCTTTTGCATGTGTGAGGTATATTTTGACGGTGATGGTTTGATAGTGTTGATGAATGTTTCCAGCTGGGCCTTTCTGACGGCAAAAAACTTGTCCTCTGCACAAGGTGGACACACTTTAATGCTCATCATCGGAACTACCGTAGCTTCCACTTTCTGCATTGTGACCTCTGCAGGAAAAAATAGAAGTGAACCATTCGGGCTACCTTCAGTTGTTCATAGTATACCCGGACTAATTAAAAGTTGGTTTCTAGACATTGCCGCAAGGGATCAATCAAAGCAATTGTACGCGTACATACCGCGCATTGTTTTGACAAATCTTGCGACAAGAACGTGGACAAGTATGTCTTCAGTTTAAATTGTGACTTCCCAAAATGTGAAGACGAGGTGGCGAGCATACGTAACTTTCGATAAATTCTAATCGGGCCAGTACAGTTATATGGGAACGGGGTAGAAGTATAATACGTCAGCGATAAGAGAAATCGATAAAAGTTAGCCTTAGGACACAGGAGGGGTGTGAGAATATGGAGGCCGGGTGG